TGCTGTGTGTGTCAATAGACAGTTTAAATACATGCCGAGATTTTATAATTGCATACAGTGGTGCATAAATGAACATGTTAGTACATTGGTGCTATGGTAATATATGTAGAGCTTGCAGTAATATGGAGGTTTTGAGTTTATGTGGGTAATACTTGTCAGACCCCCAAAAAATGGCATTTGCCTCAGCTCATCTATAGTATTCCACTCCATAAATAAGTAACATGGTGAGTATAATTGTATTAATAGGTTACCATTATTGAGTTTATTAGGAAGTTTAGATAAATGATTAATGGAGATCAGGTGTATTATTCACTCTGTTGCTGGTCACCCATCCAGGATTACCGAAGGAAAGAGGAGAGAGGTAGTCAACAAAATGGCCGCTGTCAACTTCCTAAAATAGTGAGGAGGTACCGATAAAAAAAAAAAAAAAAAAGCAACTGGGAAGGGTATAGATACTGTGACAGAGTCATATACACTGAGAACGTAGTCGAAAATAAGGCCGCCTCAACAATTTTAACAATGGGGGTTATACTATATATAGAGGCAAGGTAGCAGAGCGCTGGTGTTTACCCTTTGGAAGAAGTCACAGGAAGTGACAAAACGTGCTACTACGCTACCAGGAAGGAGTCCAAGCACATGAGGGCTTGGTTCATATTTACATCGTTTTACATCTTTTTAAAGAGACAACATTATTGGAGTTTGCTGACTGATTTACAGTGGTGCACTACTGTCTGTGCAATAGAATTGTGAGTGCATATTTTATTGGTTTAATAAATATATAATGGTTTTAAATGCTATAGCACTATGTACAGTTTCTTGAATGAGGAAAGAACAAACAGATGGCGCACAGGCCTAGTGCTTTACCATAAAAAATGTTTAATAAGAAATAAAGTAGGTGTTGTACTCACAAACGACAATAAAGTCAAGGCACGTCATAAAAGAACAGCTTGGTCAACACCGCGCTGAGTAACAGTCCACAATAGGGAGTGTAGACATCCAATAGGCTGATGTGTTTCGAGGACTTGCCTCTTCGTCAGAGCCAGAGAAAGAGGCAAGTCCTTGAAACGTGTCAGCCTATTGGATGTGTACACTTCCTATTGCGGACTGTTACTCAACGCGGTGTTGACCAAGCTGTTCTTTATGACGTGCCTTGACTTTATTGTCGTTTGTGAGTACAACACCTACTTTATTTCTTATTAAACATTTTTTATGGTAATGCACTAGGCCTGTGCGCCCCCTGTTTGTTCTTTCCTCATTCAGTATATTTGGATTCCCCCGGTCTATTGAGGGCAGCAAGGTGTGCATGTTCCAGGACATTCTTAATGTGGTTGTAGCCTGCATTGAGTCCATCCCCAAGCGCAGGAGCATTTGTGTTTGCTGGTTCTTTATGTACAGTTTCTTGTTTTATCTGAGCTAACACACCAGTTCTCAGTGGGGTGATCAGATGCTTTGACAGAATCCAACACAGGCATAGAAGGAAGGAGGAGGAAAAGTTTTGATAACCAAATAGACCCCTAAAAGGGGAAGGTACACGGTGACCTGCATATAGGTTATACATTAAGTAGTAGTAGTAGTAGAAGCAATGTAGGAATTGTACGCTTGATGAAGTTGTATATCACAGTGGTGGTGTTAACCTTTTGGATATATATTAGGGCACAGGTGTCAAACACAAGGCCCAAGGGCCAAATACTGCCCTCCAGGCCATTTTTCATGTGGCCCTCAGACCTCCCCTGCAGCTGTGCACCCCCCTTGTCTCCACCTTGTCTCAACATTCGGAAGGAGGACAAAATTCCTCCACCAAATCCTACACTTTTCCATGCACCCGCCACAGGCTCATCTCTGCAATCCCCCACCCCTGGTCTCAGCAGTTGGCAGCAGAGCGGGGGACAGAAATCCTGCGCTTCTCTGTGCACCCCTCGTCTCTAACTCCCCCGGTCTAGGCATTCAGCAGACTCCAGCCCTCTGGTCCTCCTCCAGACCCTGCACTTTGTGCTTCCCAGCTCCTCCTCCAACTTCTTCCTGGCAGCAGCAGGTAAAGGGGGCATATTGTGATGTAGGGGGGGGGTGTGGTGTTCGGGACATCTAATCTTACAGGTACAACTGGTCCTTTGAGGGCAACCATAAAGCTGATGTGGCCTGCCATAAAATTGAATTTGACACCTCTGTATTAGGGACTATAAGATCGAGTTATATAATGTTCGCACCATTAGGAGGTTTGATGTATAATTATGTATTAATGTAGCTCAGCACCTCAGATTAATATTCAGTTTATAGGTTGATTTGTGGGATCACATATGGTGAATTGCAGCAACACTAATATACACACAACTTTACTTGCTGTTTACACACAGATTGCGCAGAGAATTTATCACTTTTTATAATAGATGCACACAGCCCAACTTAGGAGCAAGCCCTCAAGTGCACCACCATAGGAAGCGGCTTCCTATGGTGGTGCGCTAAGAGAGGAGGAGCCTAGAACACCATGAGGGATGCGAGAAGAGGTTCAGAGCCGCTCTGTGCAATATCATAGCACAGAGCAGGTAAGCATTACATGTTTATTATTTTAATTTAAAAAAATGTAAGCTTTACAATCATCTCAATGATTCAGAAAGTAGTCACTGGACCAGCCTGAAGCAGAGGTAAGCAATGGCAGCCTCCGTGTTTCTTTCAGTGTTCTTTACACCCTGTTGTGTTTACTGGCCCTGAAATCACTATAGATAGAAATGATCTCCAGCGCCTACAGTAACTATATGTCTTCAGCTTGCAAACACATGCAATGTGGAGAGCTGCTTTACCATGCACCTTGATCACTTGCTGACTGCTTGCAATGTCCAGCACAGCTATTGCAGCATGTTATTCCCCATATGGCTCTGCCAGGAGCTGAAAAATGTGTTCTCTTAATGGTCTCTTGGTAGCTACCTGGTCAGTAAAAATAGGACTTGCTAATGTTAACAGGAAATAAATCATAGAGCCTGTATCTTTCTCAGAAAAGGTGGCAGTCTTACTGATCCCTGGGCATGACCTCATCCAACCTTTCCTAAAATCAGATGGCATTTGGGGCTCATTTTAGCATTACATAGAGGTGGGCTACCAATGCAAAAGCATCCAAACCAGACACAACCCATATTTTTAAAATGCAGCGCATAACTACTGTGGAGTGCTGCAATTCGGGTGGGTTGCCTGCTACTGTTTAGTATGTTGGGATGTAATTTCTACTGTAACACACCATGGTACATGCATTGCAGTATCCTACAGTGAAATGTTTGTTTTTACCAGACATTATGCCAATGTATTAGAGTGAATATGCACTTAAAGTAAAACAATGACTTTCTATATTAACCCCTTCACACAGAAGGGTAAAACAAATCTTAAAGCCTAAGCACTATTTTGCAACTTTGACATGTGTCAGCAAAACTGTACATATCATCACAACTACTTTGTACATCCAGGTGGACTATACCTTTTTTTCCCAGGACAAATTGGGCTTTCATTTGTTGATAAATGGTAACGGATATCTCCTGATTTTTTTTTTATTATCAAAGGAAAACTGACCCAAAATAGTAAAAAAAAACATTTTTTTAATGTATTTGTATATTTCTTGCTACTACCATAACCAACCACCAAAGAGCAACCCAAAATAATTTCTCCTGCTCTTGGCGATTGCAGCGATACCATATATGTGTATGTTAGTTGCTATTTGTACCTGTAGTATGGCCCAAAAACAATAGTGCACATTTTGCTTTTTTTATCCTGCCCCTAACTGACACTGATACTATTTTAAATATTAATACTAATTGTTATACATTTTTATAATTTTTTGATACTAATTTTTTAATTTGAAAAAAATCCTGACAAAAAAAATACTGACCCTGACCATTGACCCTGGCCTTTGACCCTGACCTTGACCCAAACACGAACCCTGGTACTGACCTTGATCAAACCTTGAGCTAGTTATTTTTATTTATTAGTTTATTTATTTAAATTAGTAATTGTTATATTTATTTACCGTATTTGCCGGCGTATAAGACGACTTTTTGACCCTTGAAAATCTTCTCAAAAGTCGGGGGTCGTCTTATACGCCGGTACACATGTTAGGGGGGGCTGCGGCATTAAGTACAGGGGTTTGCAGGGGCTGATGTCTCTTACCTGGATCCAGTCCCACGACGATCCGGTCCAGGAAGCGCGGCGTCTCCTTCAGTTCGGCCACTGGATGTTCGTGCGGCTGCTCGGCTCCGCCTCCTCACCGGTGATTGGCCGCCAGAACTGTAGCTCAGGAAAGGCACACAGGCGGCCAATCACCCGCGAAAATTGAGTGCCGGAGCAGCAGGTAAGTGTTCTGTGTAGAGGTGCTGCTGCAACCACATATGCTGGCTGCAGCAGCACCATACGAGAACAGGGTCAGCAAGTCTCAGTGGGAGGAATAGTGCCCCATCATTGGTGTCACTGATACCAATGATGGGGCACTATTCCTCCCACTGATACCAACGATGGGGCACTATTCCTCCCCCCCACTGACACCAATGATGGGGCACTATCCCCCCCCCCACTGACACCAACGATGGGGCACTATTCCTCCCCCCCACTGACACCCACTATTCCTCCCCCCCACTGACACCAACGATGGGGCACTATCCCCCCCCCCACTGACACCAATGATGGGGCACTATTCCACCCCTCACTGACACCAACGATGGGGCACTATTCCTCCCCCCCACTGACACCAATGATGGGGCACTATTCCTCCCCCCCACTGACACCAACGATGGGGCACTATTCCACCCCCCACTGACACCAATGATGGGGCACTATTCCACCCCTCACTGACACCAATGATGGGACACCATTCCTCCCACTGACACCAATGATGGGGCACTATTCCTGCCACTGATACCAATGATGGGGCACCATTCCTGCCACTGATACCAATGATGGGGCACCATTCCTGCCACTGATACCAATGATGGGGCACTACTCCTCCCACTGACACCAATGATGGGGCACTATTCCTCCCACTGATACCAATGATGGGACACTATTTGTCAGGAATCCCCGCTGCGACGGGCTCGGCGCAGGCGCAGTGCACCGCTCCGTGTCAGAATGCGGGCACTGAGACCTGGCCGTCCGCGGCGAGGGAGTTCGCGCATGCGCAGTGGGGACCCGCGGGCGCGCGCGTGGCACCAATGGCAGCGCAGGGCGGGATATTTAAACGGCCCTGAGCTGTCATTCAGTGCCTTCTGGTCTTTCCTTGTATCCTGCATCTGCGAACCTGTTCTAGTAAGTTATTGACCCGGATTATACCTGACCTTGTTGCCTTCTCCTGCCCAGACCCTTGCTTTGCCTGACCTCTCTCCTGAATGCCCCTGTTTGGATCTGACCTTCCGTTGCTGACCTGGCGTGTGACCCGACTACTCTCTGCCCGCTGCCTTGTACTGCTCCGTCCCCACTGTTACCGACCCGGCCCGTTTGACCCCGCACTTGCTCAGCCATCCATCCATCCATCCATCCATCCATCCCGACGGGATCACCCGACCTCCTCACATCAGGCTCTTCCCTGCGGGAGCCCCTGGCGAATACCGCTACCACTGACGGGCGTGCTCAGTAGCCACGACCTGGTCTCGGGGTACTTCAAGTCCATCCCCACCATCAGGGGCTCTGGTGAACACGTACCCTGGGGCTTAGATACCGTGCGCTGGGGACGCCTGGCCAGTGGAGTGCTAGTGGTACCGCCTGGTGGTCCCTTACAGTACCAGAAGGCCATGACTGAGCCTGGAGAGGGTCAGCCCCGCTGGGAGATATTTGCAGGCACCTATCAGCCCTGACACAGGCTGTGGCAACCTTGCAGGACAAATGCACGCACCTGGAAAACCGTTTCCAGACCCGCTCTGCATCTGGCCCTGCTCCACAGGCCCCTGTTTCCGCTCCCCCGGTAGAAGAAGCTCTGGGGCCAGCTTCAGGGGCCTCTGCTCCTCTACCGAGGGTTGAACCCCGAGTACCACTGCCTGAGCGTTTTCACGGGGACCGAACACGCTTCAGGTCTTTTCGGGATTCCTGCCTCCTGTTTTTTGAATTGCAACCCCGCACCTTCCTAACGGAATCAGTGAAAGTGGGATTTTTAATTTCACTATTGCAGCAGGGTGAACCCCAAGATTGGGCCCATCGGTTAAGGGCAAACCATGACCCTCACCTGGGAACGGGTCAGCGGTTTTTTTGAAGCTATGGCCATCCTTTATGATGATCCACAGCGGGCAGCCTCTGCTGAAGCAATGTTATCCACGCTTCGACAGGGCCGCCGGGCGGCAGAAGAATACGCCTCTGAATTTAGGTGTTGGATGGGGGACACACGCTGGAACGAGTTCGCGTTGCGACACCAGTTCCGTATGGGTCTGTCAGAGCCCTTGAAGGATGAGCTGGCCCGAGTGGGGGTTCCCGAGTCACTAGAAGACCTAATAGCCCTGACGATTCAAATAGACCGTAGACTGCGGGGGAACGCAGGTTGAAGAGGTCCGGTCAGGGTCACGGAAATGCATGGGGTCCAATTCCAGGCCCCAGCCAACAAACCAGAACAAAGATCCAGAACCCACTTCCAGGAGATGCGCAGGAACCAATGCAACTAGGCCTGGCTCGGCCTAAATTATCGCCAGAAGAACGCCAGCGGAGACGCTCTCTGAACCTCTGCTTCTACTGCGGTGAAGCCGATCATATGGTACGATCCTGCCCTCAGAAAATGAGTAAGTGCACCTCTTTTTCTTCTCTGGCTATTGGCAAGGTCAGTCCGTCCCAATACTTAGTGGTGCCCCTCTCCTTTCAGCTTCCAGAAAGGACCGTGGAGGTGACGGCCATAGTTGATTCAGGGGCATGCAGTTGTTTCCTGGATTTAGATTTTGCTCATCAGCAGGGGATTCCCCTCCAGCCCAGAAAACGGGGCTTTACCATATTTCTGGCAGATGGCTCCCAGATAAAGTCAGGAGTAGTTTAACCAGGAAACTCCCCCTATCGCCACTACCATTGCTAACCAGCATCAGGAATTCCTCCGCCTAGATGCCATTGCGTCACCTCTTTTTCCAGTCATTTTGGGACTCCCCAAATTGACTGGGAAACCGGGTCTATCTTGTTCCCGTCCCTGTATTGTCAGGAAACACTGTCACACTGCGGGCTCTGCAGCCCCCCAGGTCCTCCTGTGCTCCGAGGGAGACTCCGACCTGAAACAGGTTATTCCCGCAGCATACCACGAATTCTTAGATGTATTCAGTAAACGGGGGGCAGACACCTTGCCCCCCCACCGCCCGTATGACTGTCCAATTGATCTGTTGCCCGGCTCCGAGATCCCTTTTGGACGGATTTTTCCCCTGTCTGAGCTAGAATTGGGGGCCCTGAAGGAATACATAGAGGACAGTCTCCAGAAGGGGTTCATCCGTGCCTCTACTTCACCAGCCGGAGCGGGGATCTTCTTTGTAGAGAAAAAAGACAAATCTCTGCGACCCTGCATTGACTATCGTGAACTGAACAGAGTCACGATTAAAAATCGTTACCCTCTGCCATTGGTACCCGAATTATTTCAGAGCCTGAAGGCTGCGACAATATTTACTAAACTAGATCTCAGGGGGGCCTACAACTTGGTTCGCATAAGGGAAGGGGATGAGTGGAAGACAGCATTTCGTACCCGGTTTGGGCATTTCGAATATCTGGTAATGCCATTTGGACTGTGCAATGCCCCAGCCACATTCCAACATTTTGTAAACGACATTTTCCGGGATTACCTTGACGTTTTTGTAATAGTTTACCTAGACGATATACTGATCTTCTCATCCTCTCTGGAGGATCACAGAATACACGTGACAAAGGTTTTGGGTCGATTGCGCCAGCATGGGTTATACGCCAAAGCAGATAAGTGCAGTTTCGAGCAGTCCAGCATCGCGTTTCTGGGGTTGGTTATCTCCACCACGGGAATCGCAATGGACCCTCAGAAGGTCTCTGCAATTTTGGATTGGCCTGTGCCCACAGACAAAAAGGGCATCCAGCGCTTTATAGGCTTTGCGAATTTCTATCGAAATTCATTAGGAACTTCTCGGGTCTGGTCTCCCCCATAACTCAGCTAACCAAACTTGGAACCCGCTTCAGATGGACGCCGGAGGCTCAGGAAGCCTTTGAGGCCTTGAAAAAACTATTTACCACGGCACCCATTTTGGGCCATCCAGACGCTTCCCTGCCCTACGTACTGGAGGTAGACGCATCTGAGAATGCGGTGGGTTCCATCCTGTCCCAGAGAAAAGGCACCAAAGAATTACTCCACCCCATAGCGTTCTTCTCGAGGAAGCTCACCCCAGCCGAGAAGAACTACGATATTGGTGATCGGGAGTTGTTAGCCATCAAAACGGCACTGGAAGAATGGAGGTACTTGCTGGAAGGGGCCTCACACCCCATCTTGATCTTCACTGATCATAAAAACCTCGAGTACCTGAGGACTGCCAAACGGTTACGTCCGCGGCAGGCAAGATGGGCACTGTTTTTCTCCAGATTCATATTCCATATCACTTACAGGCCAGGGTCCAAAAATACAAAACCCGATGCGCTATCACGCATGTTCGAAGACTCCAAAGAAGAACCGGTACCTGATACTATTCTGTCCTCAGGGAATTTCTTGGCTCTCCAAACTGACCTTCGGTCCAAACTAATGGATGCATCCACGACCACAGTGACCCCAGCTGGGGTACCCCTCCAAAACAAGGGGGGACTCCTCTGGAAGGAAGGATTGATCATGGTACCCGAAGAGGTCCGAACCCTTGTCTTGGGGCAGTGTCATGACCATCCAATGGCGGGACACTTTGGCCCAGCGAAGACCCTGGAACTTCTCCAACGTTCCTTTTGGTGGCCAAACATGGCCAAGGATTGCAGGCTCTACGTAAAATCTTGCACCATCTGTCAGAAGAACAAGCCATCGAGGAACAAGGCCTGGGGGCTGCTGCGGCCCTTGCCTATCCCCGAGCGACCTTGGCAAAGGATCGCAATGGACTTTATAGTCGAGCTCCCCCCGTCTCAAGACCACACCGCGATCCTCGTAGTCATTGATCGGTTATCGAAAATGGCTCACTTTTTACCGTTAAAGAAGACTCCGTCAGCAGCCGAGACTGCGCAAATTTTTATCCAGGAAGTTATAAGACTACATGGAATTCCGGAGGACATCGTCTCGGATCGAGGGGTCCAATTCACGTCTAAATTTTGGAGGGCACTGTGTAAGGCCTTGGATATCAAATTATCCCTCTCCTCTGCGTTCCACCCCCAGACCAATGGACAGACCGAGAGGACCAACCAGACCCTAGAACAGTACCTGCGTTGCTACACATCCTTCCTACAGGATAATTGGCTACCACTCCTACCCCTGGCGGAGTTCGCGTACAACAACGCCAACCATTCCGCAACAGGGCAATCACCGTTTTTTTTTTCAAACTACGGATTTCACCCTGTCTTTCTCCCTGACTTGGTCCCTGAATGCCCAGTTCCGGCGACACAGGACACGCTAGCTTTCTTCTCCTCCAACAATAAGATACTACAGGAGGCTATTGCTCGGGCCCAGGAGGACTACAAGAAGGCGTTTAACAAAAGACGAAGAGGGGGACCTGGTGCTGCAGCCCGGGGATAAAGTGTGGTTGGCAACAACGAACGAACTTGAAAATGCTATGTCCATCAAAGAAATTAGGACCAAAGTTCATAGGCCCCTTTTGCATAAAGCGGGCGGTCAATGAGGTGGCATACGAACTTGTCCTCCCTGACACACTCAAGATACACCCGGTCTTCCATGTGTCCTTGCTGAAACCAGTAATCCCCGATGCCTTCCCAGAACGAGAATCTCGACCTCCGGAGGCCATAACGGTCGAAGGTGAAGAAGAATTTGAGGTGGAATCAATCCTGAAGTGCCGAAGAAGGGGGGGTCAGACCCAATTTTTTATTAAATGGAAGGGCTATGGCCCTGAGGATAATTCATGGGAACCAGCCCATAATGTCCATGCACCCCGACTTGTCCGGGGGTTCCTTCGTGATCACCCGTGGTGGAGAGATCGGGTGGGCACCCAGAGGTTGCCCGTAGGGGGGGGGCAATGTCAGGAATCCCCGCTGCGACGGGCTCGGCGCAGGCGCAGTGCACCGCTCCGTGTCAGAATGCGGGCACTGAGACCTGGCCGTCCGCGGCGAGGGGAGTTCGCGCATGCGCAGTGGGGACCGCGGGCGCGCGCGCGTGGCACCAAATGGCAGCGCAGGGCGGGATATTTAAACGGCCCTGAGCTGTCATTCAGTGCCTTCTGGTCTTTCCTTGTATCCTGTATCTGCGAACCTGTTCTAGTAAGTTATTGACCCGGATTATACCTGACCTTGTTGCCTTCTCCTGCCCAGACCCTTGCTTTGCCTGACCTCTCTCCTGAATGCCCCTGTTTGGATCTGACCTTCCGTTGCTGACCTGGCGTGTGACCCGACTACTCTCTGCCCGCTGCCTTGTACTGCTCCGTCCCCACTGTTACCGACCCGGCCCGTTTGACCCCGCACTTGCTCAGCCATCCATCCATCCATCCATCCCGACGGGATCACCCGACCTCCTCACATCAGGCTCTTCCCTGCGGGAGCCCCTGGCGAATACCGCTACCACTGACGGGCGTGCTCAGTAGCCACGACCTGGTCTCGGGGTACTTCAAGTCCATCCCCACCATCAGGGGCTCTGGTGAACACGTACCCTGGGGCTTAGATACCGTGCGCTGGGGACGCCTGGCCAGTGGAGTGCTAGTGGTACCGCCTGGTGGTCCCTTACACTATTCCTCCCACTGATACCAATGATGGGGCACTATTCCTCCCACTGACACCAATGATGGGGCACTATTCCTCCCACTGACATCAATGATGGGGCACTATTCCTCCCACTGACATCAATGATGGGGCACTATTCCTCCCACTTACATCAATGATGGGGCACTATTCCTCCCACTGACATCAATGATAGGGCACTATTCCTCCCACTGGTGTGCATTGGAAGAGGGGTAGTCTTATACGGCGAGTATAGCCCAAACACTACATTTTAGCAGGAAAAGTAGGGGGGTCGTCTTATACGCCCAGTCGTCTTATACGCCGGCAAATACGGTATTTATTTTTTACAAACACTTTTTTTTCTCTTAAAAGGACAGAGAGAGATACAATGTATCTCTCTGCTCCATTCAGAGAGAGAAAACAAGCGGGTGGGCTTCACAGTGACTGATCACTGTGATATCCAATCAGAGGCTTTCGCAGCAATCATGTGACCCAAAATTGGCCATTCCGGGTCCCAATTATTAGAACAGGACCCGGGGCTTTCACTGACAGACCGGTCTTTGTTCTGGGAGCGCGCCGTGTAGCGCGAAGACAGGTACACAAATTAGCGGCCCCACAGAACAAAGCCCAGACCAGTGGGGCCACTAATTTGCATATACTCAGTGCCAAGGGGTTAATAAAAATATTTTCTGCAGCACCTAATTATAAGTGCATCTGCACTTGCAGGGTTCGCAAAACCCCATAAATACCTAATGAGCCTGCCAGTGAAACCCGCCTAGTGTAACTATGTGATGATGTGGCAACAATTCAGCACTGTTCCTGAATTCAGAACAGAGTTGTCACTCATAGGCTGTGCCTGCTTGCGCTACAGTGGAAAAAAAGATGTTGCAGGGGACATGGCTGTCAGTATTGCTGGCTCACAAACCTATAGCATGTCAGTCATCATCTGGCCACACCTAGTCCTGACCACTGCTTTCTGGATTGACAGCACTTCATCTGTTTGTAAGCCGTGTACCGGGGTGGGCTCCCCAGATACTGTCAGGGCTCCCGGGTGTGACCAGAGGTATGTGACTGACGCAGGGAAACGCAGACTTCAGATATGTTATAAACAATATAATTTATTAACACTAACAATACTAACATAAACGCAGTGCAATACTAAAACATGACACAGTGCAAACAAACCAAACCAACCACCCACAGATAACAGTACATACAATGCAAGCGTTGTCAGGCAGGCCGGGTCAATATCAATCGGGCAGGTAGGTACAGGGGGAGCAAGCGGAGAATGGTCGGGGTCACAGGCCAGGTTCAGCAGGTAGCGGGCAGCGTGGTACAGAGGGTCAGGCAGAGGGATGGTCAGGGTCACAAGCCAGGGATCAGAACAGGAGAAGTCAGCAGAGGTCAGAATCAAGCAGGGTCAGCAACAAGACAGGAACAGGAAAGCAGGTTTACAAGATACAGGGCCCAGGAAAAGCACACACCAAGGCAGAGTCTGCAGGTCTGGCCATCCCTTAAATACACCAGTATAATTAGTTCCAGGTGTTTGACTGGCTGCAAGGTTGAGTCTCTGATTGCTGGGAGCACCCGCTGGCCAGCCCTGGTACTGTAGCTCATAAGGCAGGTGAGTCCCACTATTGCTGGCCAGTCCATTCCTGACAGTACCCCCCCCCTCAAGGAGCGGCCTCAGGACGCTCCAAACAGTCCTAGCTGGGCAAAATGTTCCACCGCCCGGGTCTGGTAACTGGCGGGATATCAAAGACTGGCACACCGGGCAGGACTCCGGGCAGAGGCACACGGGCAGAGGCACATCGGGCAGAGGCACACCGGGCAGAGGCACACCGGGGCAGAGGCACATCGGGGGCGGGAGGCACATCGGGCTGGCAGAGGCACATCGGGCTGGACTCCGGGCAGAGGCACATCGGGCTGGACTCCGGCAGAGGCACATCGGGCTGGACTCCGGGCAGAGGCACATCGGGCTGGACTCCGGGCAGAGGCACATCGGGCTGGACTCCGGGCAGAGGCACATCGGATTAGGCCAGGCGAAGCAGCAGGCAGCGGGCCACCAGGCGGAGCAGCAGGCAGCGGGCCACCAGGCGGAGCAGCAGGCAGCGGGCCACCAGCGGGCGGCAGCAGCAGGCAGCGGGCCACCAGGCGGAGCAGCAGCAGGCAGCGGGCCACCAGGCGGAGCAGCAGGCAGCGGGCCACCAGGCGGAGCAGCAGGCACCGGGCCCCAGGCGGAGCAGCAGGCACCGGGCCCCCAGGCGGGGCGACAGGCATCGGGCCCCCAGGCGGGGCGACAGGCACCGGGCCCCCAGGAGGGGCGACAGGCATCGGGCCCCCAGGCGGGGCGACAGGCATCGGGCCCCCAGGCGGGGCGACAGGCATCGGGCCCCCAGGCGGGGCGACAGGCATCGGGCCCCCAGGCGGGGCGACAGGCATCGGGCCCCCAGGCGGAGCGGCGGGCGCCGGACCCCCAGGCGGAGCGACAGGTCTCGGGCCCCCAGGCGGAGCGGCGGGCGCCAGAACCCCAGGCGGAGCGACAGGTCTCGGGCCCCCAGGCAGAGAGGCGGGCACCGGACCCCCAGGCGGAGCGACAGGTCTCGGGCCCCCAGGCGGAGCGGCGGGCACCGAGTCACCAGGCAGGACAGTGCTCCGAGTCAACTGGCAAGACTGCGGGCACCGAGTCAACTGGCAAGACTGCGGGCACCGAGTCGTCTGGCAAGGCTGCGGGCACCGAGTCGTCTGGCAAGGCTGCGGGCACCGAGTCATCTGGCAAGACTGCGGGCATCGAGTCAACTGGCGGAACAGCGGGCACCGAGTCGTCTGGCAAGACTGCGGGCACCGAGTCGTCTGGCAAGACAGCGTGCACCGAGTCGTCTGGCAAGACTGCGTGCACCGAGTCGTCTGGCAAGACTGCGTGCACCGAGTCGTCTGGCAAGACTGCGGGCACCGAGTCGTCTGGCAAGACTGCGGGCACCGAGTCGTCTGGCAAGACTGCGGGCACCGAGTCGTCTGGCGGAGCAGCGGGCACCGAGTCGTCTGGCGGAGCAGCGGGCACCGAGTCGTCTGGCGGAGCAGCGGGCACCGAGTCGTCTGGCAAGACTGCGGGCAACGAGTCGTCTGGCGGAACAGCGGGCACCGAGTCGTCTGGCAAGACTGCGGGCACCGAGTCGTCTGGCAAGACTGCGGGCACCGAGTCGTCTGGCAAGACTGCGGGCACCGAGTCGTCTGGCAAAGACTGCGGGCACCGAGTCGACTGGCATTGGATCGTCTGGCTCGACAGCGGGCATCGGGTCACCAGGGATCAGGTCATTTGGCTCGCCAGCGGGCACCGCGTCATCTGGCAAGGCAGTGGGCACCGAGTCACCAGGTACGACAGCGGGCTCTGAGTCAATTGGCACGACAGCGGGCACCGGATCAGGTACCGGATCATCTGGATCAACAGCGGGCATCGAGTCAACTGGCCTAATAGGATCATCAGGCTGGATCAGTTCATTATGCTGGGTAGAGGCATCCGGCTGAGTAGAGGCTTCAGGCTGAGTAGAGGCATCAGGCTGAAGAGAGGCATCAGGCTGAAGAGAGGCATCAGGCTGAAGAGAGGCATCAGGCTGAACCACGGAAGGCAGGTTCTCAGACGGCAGGCTGACCGGTTGGATACTGGCAGGATGGTACTGGTTGGAAAGAATTTTCGCTTTTTTCTGGTTTTAATTACTGGAGCACTGCAAGTAAACGCAGGTCTGCAAACGAATGGAGCAGCTGGAGACAGAGAAGAGCTGGAGGATGGAACAGGGGAGGGAACAGTTGCTACAGAGGGCTTTTTTACAGGGTTAAAGGCAGGATAGGTGCAGCGAGTGGGAACAGGGTACTGACATGCGGTAGATAGCAGGGCAGGAGGAGCTGTTGGGAATGCAGGAATAGAGCTTTGAGGAAATAGATTAGAAGCAGGACTGGGTCTTTGTAAGCTGACTGAGGCTGGGTGCAACAAATCTGTCCATGTCTGCAGTATGGGTTGAACAAAGCTGAGCTTACACAAAGCCTGTCTGACCAAAGACTGCACTGCGTTTATACAATCTCTTAGTATCTGTGGTGAACATGCAGCATAATGCTCCAAGAAGCAATCCACATCATCCTCTAATAACCATACCAGGGACTCTACCTGGTCAGCACTAAATGGTGGCAAAAATTCATCCCTGCATTCGGGGGTACCAGATGAAACCAACTCCGCACAAATCTGAATCAATGGCTGCACCTCAGAGAATTCTGTGCCCTGATCTACTAGAACATGAGCGAGCCGTATACATTCTAGCAGTTCATCCCGGGGATACTCCTTCAGAGTCTGATAAGCATACTCTCTGTCATCAAACACTAGCAGATATAAATACACAACCTCATCAAGATCCATCCTTCCCATCAACAAACCAACATGGCTTCCCTGTGCAGCCACTTCTGGTCAGGATTGGCCTTGGTGTAATGTCAGGGCTCCCGGGTGAGACCAGAGGTATGTGACTGACGCAGGGAAACACAGACTTCAGATATGTTATAAACAATATAATTTATTAACACTAACAATACTAACATAAACGCAGTGCAATACTAAAACATGACACAGTGCAAACAAACCAAACCAACCACCCACAGATAACAGTACATACAATGCAAGCGTCGTCAGGCAGGCCGGGTCAATATCAATCGGGCAGGTAGGTACAGGGGGAGCAAGCGGAGAATGGTCGGGGTCACAGGCCAGGTTCAGCAGGTAGCGGGCAGCGTGGTGCAGAGGGATGGTCAGGGTCACAAGCCAGGGATCAGAACAGGAGAAGTCAGCAGAGGTCAGAATCAAGCAGGGTCAGCAACAAGACAGGGACAGGAACGCAGGTTTACAAGATACAGGGCCCAGGAAAAGCACACACCAAGGCAGAGTCTGCAGGTCTGGCCATCCCTTAAATACACCAGTATAATTAGTTCCAGGTGTTTGACTGGCTGCAAGGTTGAGTCTCTGATTGCTGGGAGCACCCGCTGGCCAGCCCTGGTACTGCAGCTCATAAGGCAGGTGAGTCCTACTATTGCTGGCCAGTCCATTCCTGACAGATAC